TCTTTTTGACCTATGAACCATATGAAAAGGAATGAGTGTGTCGTCCAAAATGTCTCTTGGAAAATCTTTCGTCCCCGCTATGTAAAGTGTTTTGTTCTCTGGGTGGTGGTATAGTCCTAAATCGGTTCTGTTATTGTATGCTCTCTTCAGTCCCGTCTCGTCGTTGATTTTGCTGAAATCCTCCAAGTATTTGTTTCCCTGTTGTATCTCCTTACTGAATTTCTCCAACAATTCCTTCTGTTTGTTGTAGTGTTTCTTGTTGTATTCTTTACCGTCAATCTCTTTAAAGGGATTTATTCTTTGTAGTCGTCCCTGTGTTTTCATATCATCCATTGACTTTTTTTGAAGCATATATAATAATGTATAGATTTTTTTCTAAAGTTATTAATTATATCATAAAAAATGAGTAGATTTAAAAAGATATACATAGACAGCCATCACCGAACCCAGAACTCCAACGGTAGTAGTGATTTTGAAATCTATTTACCTGAAAGTCAAGAATGTGGGAACGACACCAAACTATACATCCACGAAATCACCATACCCGATTCCATTTATCCAGTTCAAGCGGGGTTGAACAGCAACCTATACTTAAGACTGACGGATTTTTCAAACACTACGGATGTCATAGTTGAACTGTTGAGTGCTTCCTATGTAGGTGCTACATTGGCATCAAACCTTCAAACAAAGATGAACGAAGCAACAAATGGGTTTCAAACCAACAACGACTATTTCAGTGTATCTTATGACTATGACACCAACAAAATAACCATCGCTTTGAACTATGTAGATTTTTCGTTTAAGATAATGACCGACTATGAGATGGAATATAATACCATCCAATGGATGGGAGCATCTTATGACAGAAATATCTTTAAATCCATCAATCAGGTTTTAGGAAACTACACCTCATCGTTGAACTACCCAGATTGCACAAGTGGATATTTAACATTATTAGCGTTGAGAAATCTATACCTTACTTGTAGTGAATTGAGCGACGCTAAACAATTAGGTTCAACGGGTGCTTACAACATCATTAAGAAAATCCCCATTAACGCCCCTTTCGGTTCAGTCATCTATGACAACGAAATCATTTCGCATGATTACATAAACGTTAGTAATCGTGTTTTAAGGACTTTGCATTTCAAACTGGTCAATTCTTACGGTAATGTGGTGGATTTGAACAATGTTAATTGTTCCTTCTCAATGATTTTTGTAAATGATGAAGACATTTAAAGGATTGAAAGTAATAATAAGCAATCAAAAATGGTAGATTATAGTAAAGGGAAAATCTACAAAATCTGGGACAACTTATATACAATCTGTTATGTTGGTTCTACCACACAACCGTTGAGCAAACGAATGGTAAAACATCGGTGCGATTATAAACGATACTTACAGAAGAAGAGGAGAGACCCCATATCGGTGTTTAAGATTTTTAATGAATTTGGTATTGAAAATTGTAAGATAGAACTGGTGGAAGACTTCCCGTGTGAAAGCAAGGAAGAACTCAACGCAAGAGAAGGACAAATTCAAAAAGAATGTGAGTGTGTCAATAAACTGATTGCTGGAAGAACCCAGAAGCAACGCTATGAAGAAAACAAGGATGAATTCCTTAAGAATATGAAAGAATACCGTGATAGGAACAAAGGCAACCCACTGTTTAAAGAAACGAAGCAACAGTCCCAACATAAGTATTATGAGAAAAACAAAGACAAACTATTAGAAAAAATGACATGTGAATGTGGTGGTCAATTTATCAAATGGAGTTTGAATAGACACTTACAATCAAAATTACACCAACAATATATGACTGAAAATGTCATTAACTAAATCTGATGGTATTCTATATAATTCATCTTGACGATGGATTATAGGATTATCACCCCATTCGCTCTTTTTACCCGACGGCATCCGTTGGGCTGTTTCTTTATGTTTAATGTTGATGATGTTTCCACAATATTTTTTACATAATGGTTTCGGTTTCCAAGTTTTTAGGTTCGTCCATATCCTCGTTCTTTTTCTGTATGGAAAGCCGTATTTACAATAATCAAGGTCAAAGTAATCAAAGTCTTTCATAAAGTCCTGATGTTTCAACAATCCAGTCTGTGGGTTTTCTTTGAACCACACGGAGGGATTGAAGTATCTGATTATTTCAATGGTCTTTTGAACGAGCTGTTGGCATAATCTATGTTTCTAACACCAGTGGTTTTGGCAATGCTGTATTCAACACAAGGGGGAGAAGCCCAAATGATTTGAAAATGGTTTCTGTTGAATTGTTTGTAATCCCAATTGAGGATGTCGGTATTGATGTTGGCAAGAAAGCGGAAGTCTGGGACTGCAAGAACACCAGTGCTGACGAGGTGCAATGAGAATGTTGCTCACGAACTCAAAGGCTGTGATGATGTGCAAGAAGAGTTTGAAGGACATTGAGTCTCTGCCAAAGTCATGAAACAGTGGAACTTCCGATTAAACATATTATGAAGTAATCTTTGAGACCCAGAAACCCATTTAAAGATATAGTCCCAGAACACTTTAATGAACGAACATAAAGGTAGGAAATGTTCAAAATGTAAAAAGACGCAAACTCTAGAAAACTTTGCTAATGGAAAGGCATAATGTAAAAAATGTTGTGAGTATAAACAGCATTATAGAGAAAACCATAGAGAAGAATTGCGACAAAAACAGCGGGAACGCTATGAACAATGCAAAGGACAAAAACTTGAGAAACAGAAAGAAAAGGTTGAATGTCCCATTTGCAAAATTGAGATTTCAAGAAACAAAATGTTAAGACACGAAAGAACCCAACGACATAAAAAACACCTGAACAAACCTAACCCAAAACAAATAGAACAACAAAAGAAAACTGATGAAGAAATGAAACGAATAAAACACCAAGAAATCATAGACTACCTTAACGCAACATTTCCCTCATATCCAGATGGTTAAATCACAACAACCTCAACAAATCCTAACCACATTCAAACAGAAAGCCCCAGAAAAGTTAGCGACAAAAAAAACAGAACATACAACACATAAAACATCAAAGGGAAGGAAGAAACAGTGAACAAGAACATAAAAAACATAACAGGCAAAACACCCTCAACAAAACCTACCCTCATTGAAACCAAACATTATTACAACAACCTCAACAAAACATTTAGCAAGATAATCAAAAAGAAACAGTCAAACATTTAGATTTACAATGTTGAACAAAAACATAACAACCTCCCAACCAACCTCCAACCTCTCTTGTCCTAGTTTCCCCCTTTCACCATTTTGACTCGGGTATCGAGTCTCATGGCTTGGTGACTTTGAGCAGCTGATCCTGACATATTTTGACAAGACGCAATGCCACTGCGCAGCTGCTGGCGGGCCGCTCTTCACGGTTCTGCCACAGTCGGTAGCCATCGCAAGAAAACACTTGATCAAAAGATATCGAATTGGCCTAATGATGCCTAATGATTCATTCATGATATCCTAATGATGTTGTGCATGTTGTGCTCATTGTGGAGCTTCCAGGCCTTGCCATTCCTGGCCTATTAAAAACCTCTGACGCTTCTATGACTTCTATGTTTTCACTGGTGCGGAGACTGTGGAGATGCTCAAACATGCTCAAACAAGTTGAATTGAGCATGTTGAGAGCACTGGAGGTTCAAAGATGTTAAAAGCATCTGAGACCAACTACTGATCAGTTCGATTGAAACAAAGAAAACTTGTGGGGCTTCCCTACGGTAAGCAAACCTGTTCTGGTGTGTGACCTGAGTTCCAACCCTGGGGAGTGCCGGCCATCAAAAGACCGAGAGTTCACCATCATTCCTTGTGGGACTTGGGATCTTTGGCATCGTTCGCAGTTGAACAGATCGGCAATGTACATATACTATCTATGTATGTGTTTCTGATTTACTTGAGTGCGTACAGATCTTGGCACGTGCGACCTGGAAGTCATGAACACCGCATGTGACCATCACGTCAATGGCCACGTAAAAGGGCATAAGGAGTCTTCTGCAAATTGGAAGTGGCTAATTTTTGTCCTATCCTCCAGTGCCCCAAAAAGTTTCCACCAAAGTGGCCTTCAGGCCTAAGAGCGGTGAAACGCTAAGGCTAAGGCCTGCTGCCTTGGTCGGGAAATGCGGCTGGGTTTCTGAGCTCTGTGTAAGTGGCAAGGCAATGCCCGGTGCAGCTCGACTTTTTTAACAGGCAGAAGCAGACTACCCATCAGTCTAAAAAAATCCCCAAACAGTGGACAGCCAAGATCAAGCACAAGATGCGAAAACAAAGGCGTGAAAGACAACTCTTTACATGGGAAAAACATGGAAAAACCCTGTCTGAAAGACCCTGAATTGCTGGCTGGAGGTGGCCGGAAAAAGGTTCTTTCCCCTGAAGGTATATTTTCGCCAAGTTCTTGCCATTGTACGTCTGTAGCCTTTGTTTTGTGGGTGGACAAGTAGACATAAGATGCGACACATCTTTCCCTGGATCAACTTTCCGCAGGTTCTGACATTTTTCGAAGCGCAAAACTTCAAGGATATTGATTGTCTGAAAATACTTTGCGCCGACAAACGGGTTTGAAGGACGCATTGAAACAGAAGCAACAGAAGCAACATGGCATCCAGTGACAAACAAAATGAACAAGCATGTCAAGATATGTCAAGCATTAATCAACTCCACCCCCCATTAGCAACCACTCCTGCAAAGAAATTACCCGACAATATCCGACAATCAATTCAATTGGACCAGCTACGTGGTTGTTCCCCCCCTCAGAGTGTCGGCCCCCCTACCAGTTGCATAGTCTCTATAGTTAGTAAAAGTTAGTAATGTATCAATCCCGTTGGTTGGGAGGACCCAAGGCATGGGGGGAACCCTTTATATAGACCTCCTGAAACCATATCTTCTTTTACCAAGAGTAGTAAGACATAGTAAGAGATTGATCAGTTTGAGGGACTTGCCTTTTTTGAATTGTCAAATGTTTTTCTGTGTTTTTTCCTTGTTTTTTTCTTCATGGTGTACACCTATCTTGTTCAAAATGTACCCCAAATGAATACCCTTGGCGCTTTGCACCTACATTCCTCGAATTTTCATGAACTTTGCGTGTCATTTCTGTCTCCTTTACCTACTACTGTCATGTAATCAATACGCCGCATGGATATGCTCTATGTACAAAGGTATAGATCCAGTAAACCGTGGCGAAACAGGAACTGAGGTAAACATATCTTTGGATTTGTTCAATTCTTGCACAATCATCCTAGTATTTCGTGGAGCAGTGAGGGTTTGACTAGGGAACCCTAGGAAGCTGCTTTCCTTTCAGTGTGTTACACGGGGCAGTAAGCAGAAATACATTTCAGTTTCTGTGAACCCCCAAATGAGTTTCTGCTTTTACTGGCCGTCATGTTCTAGATATATACACGCACACATTGGACAGATCATGTAGATGATATAAAAACAGATTGTATACATACATGTGCATGTCACATGCATACAGCTTACATATATAATCATATATACAGATTGTGTACATACATATTATTACATACATTTACATATTGTACGCATACAAGTGTATATGAGCCGCAGAAATTATTTTGTACAAAACGGTGTTCCTACCTCGTTCTCCAGCCCTGTTACGTTTTTTGGGGTCTGACCTCGTTCTCCAATGCCGCACTTGTTTTTAATAGCTAAATATGTGCGATGCTTACCTCGTTCTCAGGGGTGTTCCTACCTCGTTTTAAAAACCTACAGTAATTATGATGTTTTTGACAAACCAGGGTACGCCACAATACTAAACCAAATAAAAGCCGTCGCTCAAATGTCTAACCAAACGCACAAAATGAATCAAAATGATTGAATGTTCACAAGTTCAAACTCTGAGGCATCGACCTGTCGGGCCTGCACTGTCTAGGGTGACCATGATGTTGTCATTGAAGTCCTCAGACTCAAAGCCTCGGCGTCAAAGTGAACAAACTTAGAACAAAAAGCAAAGCATATCACTAGAAGGAACACGTTTTGAGTGTCGTGTCCCAATACATATCCTTCAGCATATTCACATCATTTCACATCAACACACTCATCCTTTCAGCATCAACTGTGGGCTGTTCGGGCCAACGCTAAGAGATTGGCTGATGTCAAAGTCTTTCTCACAGGCAACAATCTGCTGCAACCAGGATGTGAGAACCTGGACAGTACGATCTCCATCAAATCGGGAAGAAACAGCTGCTCAGTAGCCCAAAGAAAAAGCAACGGCAACAGACGGTAACTACACGTAGCTACTATTCTATACTATGCTGCAAGCTGTCTCTTCAGGACCAGCAAGCTGTAAGTGCTTCACTTGTAACTCTTCAGTAAGGTTCTGGACTGAAGGATCAGACCTGACCATTGGACCATGCTTTAGTAGTTAGCGCATTGTCTCATGCCTTGTCTAACTCTTGGTCTGTTGTGCTTCAATGCAGCTTCGCTATTTCTTGCTGAGGGGATCACATTAGCTTTATTGTTTTGCAATAGCTGCCGCCTTCCTCGCGGGTCTTTGAGGGTGACTTGACCAGTCGCAGCGAGATCCAGCAATCATCAGTTTGAAACAAACATGCTTGAAACCCCACTGGATCGAAGATGGCTGCGAATCTTCAATCTTCGATCCACCCGAACTTTAGAGTGCTTCATGCTTCAAAGCCAGGATTTGTCCCAGAAAACCGCAGTCTAGGACTGAAAATGTCAATAAACACAGAATGTGCGATCTTCAACCTTCAATCTACTGGAACTTTGAAGTGCGCTAAAGCCAGGAGCTTTCCCAAAACAGTGTGAGAGCGAGGTCAGCTACACTGCATAGTGGTGCATAGTGTTGTATAGATATGTATAGATTGTATAGATACTGCAAATGCTTTAAACTTTTGGCATTGGCTCTCCGGCCGTTCGGCAGGAAGGCAGTTCTCTTTCATAGGCATGTTGCAGCTCACAAGGAATGCAGGCCGTCTTGAATTGAGGACACCCTCATCGCTGAAAACAAATACATATACTTCTGGAAGGAATCCTTTGCTTGCTCTGCTGCTCTTGTTCACAATTATGCACTCTCTTGTGTGAGGATTGCACTTTCCTTGAAGGAACACTGCATATCACGCAGCTATACTTTCTGGATCTTATTATTGGAAGGAATACAACTTCAAAGAAACGTTGCCTTACTTTTAATGCTGCACTTGCTCACAGTACTTCACTTTCTTTGTCTGGATATTTCCTTGGAAAAGGAAAATTGTGATCCTGTTTAGATTTATGCAGCTCTTGAGAGGAATATTGCCTGTTGAAATGAGTACTGCACTTCAAAGGTGAATAAGAACAGGAATGAAAAAGATCCGCCAATATGCAATATTTTCCCGACAAAATGAACAAGATACAACAATATGATTCCGAAACACAGCAGTACAACACATGCTCATGATCTGCCAAAGGTTGAAACCTCAGAAGCCACTCAGAAGCCGCTCTCCCCCTCTCTCCACAGGCTCTACATGATAAATCATGACACCTTTATGACTTGTAATCATAATTATATAATATGACTGGTGTGTCAACAATCCAGTAGGAGCGGGTCCTGGGGGCAACACCACAGCACCTCAACGTGGCGATATCAGCGATACCAGGCAATGCCATGCAATGATGCAGGAACACGTCAAAACAAAATAAAACAACTCATCACAAGCAAACATAAAGTAAAAATAACATCATCATATATCATCATCATCATCGTCGTCGTCGTCGTCGTCATCGCCATCATCATCATCACAGTGCAACCTGATACAAACATACTGTACGCTGAGCAGCAAAGCATTGTGCAAACCCTGAAAACTCAAGAAGCGAGGCCTCTTTGGCTGCAAGATGCTCCACTGTGGAATCACCAACGGAGATTACGTGCATGGTCCTGCAACCATAGCATATGTTCATATATGTTTAGCGATTGCAGCCCTTAACACATCCTTCACAGTGCCTCACCAGTGGCTTGTGATCCAAGGCATCTCTGTGGATCTGTGTTTGTACAACAGGCTGTCTTGGTAGATGGGCCATACAATTTTCGCAGGCACTTCAGCATTGCCTCAAGTTTCCATGAGATTGTGTCGACAGTCACCGTTGGGAAGATCATGCAAGAGCGGGCAAGTGTGTACTCTCTAATCACCAACAATGGATGATACCTGGCTTCAGGGAGTATCAGTATCAGTATCAGTACCAGTATCAGTATCAGTATCAGTATCAGTATCAGTGTGCTGGGATAGAGTGTCTATGACTGCGTGCTGTGGAGAAAACTTGACTTTGAATGGTGTACGCTTCCAAACTTCCTTACCCTGTTCAACATTGTTCAACATTAGACTGGGGTGCAGACGTTTCGTTTGGCAATCACAAACATATCAACACCTTCTTCGAGTTGTGCCTAAGATCAAGTTTGCGGTTGCTGCTGCCACCTCACATACCGATCCAACCCCCTGAAATTCGCAGGTAATATGAAGATTATGAAACAAAGGGAACGCGGCGTCTGCTGTTTCTTGGGGCTAGGCATTGTAAATGTGAGGTCGAGTGATGTGCTCTCGAGCATAGAAAATCTCGATCTCAAGTTCCTATCACCCAAACTTTGCACGCAGCTCTTGTTCTTGCGAGCAAAAGTCAAATGCACTGAATGTGCAAAGTCGGACCTGGAAAAGTTTTTCAAAGTCTAAGCCGGGAAGGTACCTTGGAAAAGTTAAAAACTAGGCACTGTTTAGAAAGTCGCTCAGATCAGTTTCACGGTTGTCTTTGTCTACTTGTCACCGTACGCCAAAGGTTGGGTGGCAAATTCAACGTCCACAAGATGCGTTTGCAACTCGTACTTAATTTTAAGTCGTTGTAGAGTTAAGGCTCTGACCATGCTGCTGAGTTTTCAACCCATGGGCGACGGGCCAATGTGACAATACTGACACGGCCAACCACCTGACATGGCACAGATCGAAACAGCACCAAAAAAATGAGTCTTGGCCTGTCTGGAACTCACAAGTCTACACAAACAAACTCCTTAAGCCGTTGCTATCTGCCGGTCATGCAAGGTGGCTTCATGTTGTTTCATAAGCTTGCGTTTTTGCCGAGCCTCTCGTGCAGACAAGAGGACCGACTGAACAATCTGAGCATGTGCCTCAAGGATTAGCGGGATCAGTGCCAAACTGATTCTCTCTTGGTTTCTTTTACTCAAGAATCAAGCCATACTACATCATACCAACATGCAGCTTTACGGCCGAAGTTTAGAAGTCAAACTCCCGAAAACGTGGACAGATGAAAAAGCAGAGGTGGGAAGAGTCAGAGAAGAGAAGAGGAGAGAAGAGGAGAGGAGAGGAGAGGAGAGGAGACGAGAGGAGAGAAGAGAAGAGAAGAGAAGAGGAGAGGAGAGGAGAGGAGAAAGAGTCAGAAGAAAGAGTCAGAAGAAAGAGTCAGAAGAAAGAGTCAGAAGAAAGAGTCAGAAGAAAGAGTCAGAAGAAAGAGTCAGAAGAAAGAGTCAGAAGAAAGAGTCAGAAGAAAGAGTCAGAAGAAAGATGCAGGCGCACGAAAAAATAGAAATAGTCGCGAAACAGATGAAAAATTGCACTCCGTTGTGGCGCGAAGCACATTGCGAAGTCAAAATGCACAAAACACATCAGCCTCGGAGCAATTTTTAGGGATTGAGATGTCGAAAAAGTGCACGCCGTTGTGGCGCGAAGCACATGTCGAAGTCAAAATGCACAAAGCACCTCATGTTCGGACCACTTTTGGAAGTTGAGGTGTCGAAAAAGTGCACGCCGTTGTGGCGCGAAGCACATTTCCAAGTCAAAATGTTTAAAGCACCACATGTACTGACCACTTCTGCACGTTCAGATGTCGTTTCGTGTGGCAGGCGCAAGGGGTTGTGCACCTTGTCAACAATCAGCAAAACGTGAGGGCTTTGTAGCAGTTTCAAAAGCGGTGGCAGGCACGGGACATTTGAAGAGGATCTGCAAAGATGCATTTTCCATGGCAGGAGCAATACAAGAGACATGTTCATCAGAGATGTTAGGAGGTCCGGGCGCTCATTTCCTGAGAGGGGTTGCATTTTGGAGCATGAGATCTTCAGGTTTGCTAAGATTTTGCGTGGCAAGTGCAGCACTTCGTATGACCTGGTATCACTTTTTCGTGGCACGCGCAGCACTTTAGAAACATGGAGTGGAAAAAACGCAAAACGCATTGGTACGAGGAAGTCAGCAACTTTCCATTTTTGAAGGAATCTCGCAGAATTGCTTTGTTTTTGGTGCTGTCACCTTCTAAAATTGAGGAAGTCTCGCAGAATAACTTCGTTTTTGATGTTGTCATTGTCACCTTCGAAAATTGAGGAAGACTCCCAGAATTGCTTCGTTTTTGACGTTGTCAAGTTAAGACATTGAGGAAATCTCGCAGAATAGCTTCGTTTTCACACTTGCAGATAGACAGACAGAGAGACAGACAGACAGATAGATAGACAGATAGATAGATGGATGGATAATGATAGATAGGCAACTGCAACTACAACTGCAACTACTGCTCCACTACACTACCACTATAACACAAATACAAATACACAAATATACTACGCTACAGTACACTAGTTACACTACACTACACCAAGTACACTACACTACACTAATTACATTACACAAATTACATTACACTACGCTACACTACACTTGACTAAACTACAACTACAGCTAGAACTACAACTACACTACAGTATACTACACTACACTAATTACAACGCTACGCTACACTCCGCTACACTACACTAACTGCAACTACAGCTACAACTACACTACTTTACACTACACCACACTAGACTTCACTATAGCACACAACACTACAGCACACTACACTACGCTACATTTCATTTCACTACACTCATTACACCACACCACAACTACAACGGCAACTACAACTACACTACACGAATTGCACTGCACTGCAAATACAGCACCATTACAACTACAACTGCGCTAACCCACACTACAACAAGCAGTTGTGGGTGAGGTGACCGCTGCAACCACTGCAACCATTCCAAAAAACATAACTCCAACCACCTTTCGGTCCATGAGTGGATTCGCTCTGCCATCCATGCATCACAACAACTCACCTCTCCTATAGTGTCCTATCTTTGAAACTTCCGCCACCGCCTTGTGCGGTACTACTGGTACCACTCGAGTAACATCTACTGTACCTGCACCTATTGGAAAAATAATAAAGTCCATGCTGTAAGTGCAAAGATACTGAAAATCCTGTCAGCCGTTCTAGTTGATTCACACAGCTAAGCCAAGCACTTTCAAGTCCAGGTGGTATGGAGATTCACTCGGTAATGGCCCATCCTCCGGTCCAAAAGTGTGTCGCAAACACCCAAACTAGGCCCAAACCATCTCTACGTGAATCCTGGCGATGGTTTTCTAGAACAAAATTGACATATTTTGACAATTTTTGACATGTGTAAAATTCGCTTGTAAAAAAATTACAAAACATCTTGTGAACAGTTTGAGTTCAATTGAGTTCAGCTCCTTGGGATGAAGTGCCTTGACAACTTCTGTCACATGCCGGGTTGGAAAAAGAGTGTCGTCCTCAGCTGGTGAATCTTAACAGGTGTGAGGACAGTGAGGACAGCGTGAAATCACAGTCTTTATGCTTCCCTTGGATCATGACGTTTAAAGGATTTTAAAGGCAGGATACGGTAGGACGGTTGCTTGCAAAAACATGATCTTTTTTGGGCTAGCAAATGTTCAGCACTTTCTGATGAAGGCTGCTCAAACTGCCTGATTGCTCCTGGTTGTTGCACCTTTGCGTCGCTGTTCCATTACGCGTAGCATCTCTCGGGTAGTGTGCTTCTCCACTTTTGTATCGCAGCGCTGCGCACAAAGGATGGGTGTCCATGTTGAAATTAGGCCTGCTTCTCGACTAGACTTGTAAACGGCCTGCCCCTCGGCTGCAATGGTTATATCATCCAGGTACCAGGCACCATGACAAAAATTGGGAAAATCGAACTTTGTGTTGTCGGAAAAAAGCCTCTTGGTGTCTGTAGATCGATTGACCTAAATCATGTTGAACAACGCTCGTAATTCGTCAATGCCAAGCTTCGGCCGCATATTCGAGTAGACTGTTTCTGTTACTATGCAAACTACATCATCAATGAAAGAAAAGAATGAAAGTTTGTGTTGCTGCTCGAACCACGGGTTCAACAAAAGCATATTTGGGTTGCAAATGTCCCAGAAGATCATAGCTAGCGAGTCCATGAGAGAACTCTTGTTTCAAGCTACTGGCAGGTTGTGCCCCATTCATCTCTTGCTATTGAAAGCTCCTCAGGTCCTCTGTACCCTCCTTCTTTAGAATATGTATTGGTAAATTCCTGTGGGAAGCCATGATCATATCCTAATATATCATATAGAATCGCGAGGCACTGCTTCTCTCGCAGTGGTTCTCCTGTGCTATCATGTACCGTGCAGATCGTGCAGGAAGCTTTGAGGTCGCTTCCCAGTCAAAAATGATGACGGCTGGAACGCCACCTGGCTTTGGACATACACCACGTATACAAAACACGTACACAAGACACATATACAAGACATGTACACAAGGCATGTTCAACCATCTACTTCAGCTTACAATTCTTAGCCTGTGGCTGTTGCAGTTGTGATAGACGACTGTGATGTCTTCCATGCTGTTTGGGACAATGCAAAACATGGTTGGGTCCTGTCAAATTCACGCCTGCCGGGACTGGCTCTGCTTGTTCTGCTTCTGCTTTAGCTTCCGCTTCTTTGACGGCTTCCCCTTAGTCCGAAAGCACAAGACGCAATTGACACCAATGATGTGGGCTGAATTCAATGCTATTTTACTCGTAGCTGTCCTCTTTTGCTCAGAAACACACGTGCATCTTCTCCCATTGAAGGGGATGGTGCGCTCCTTTCAACGATACGGTGGCTATTGTGCTTATATACGTCAAACACATGCATCGCAGTGAGCACATCAAAACATGCTGGCGCACTGGTGTCGCTTTCTTCGACGACTCAGCATGGCCTGACCATGGCGCGGGATTTTCAGATTCTCTGCTGCGAGAACAAATTCTGAAAAAGGGAAGGAACTGAGGCTGCAGAGCTACTGCTCAATGGGTTTGTCCAAATTACACCCCTGTAGACCCCAAGCAGTTGTTCCATGTGCATTGCAGCGTCTGTGTGCATGTTTGTGGTTATACTGTTATACTAGCTCCTGATGCTGGCAATGTTTGATCCATGTCAATTGAGAACAGCATGAATCACAAGCAACATTCCACACCGTTTCGATTTTTGCCACTGCATTTGTATCTGAGACAATAATTAGAGGGGGACAAGGTAGGAGACAAGTGGGAGACAAGTGGTAAAACGCATGAAGCCATGGTGGAACATGATTTTAGCTTGAGACGAAGAGAATTACAAAGGGGGTAAAGAACAGAGACCAGAACGAAACACGAATAAAATCATGATGAAACTAGAACAGGACGCCGCCACTAAGGCAGACATATGACTGGAGACAAATGGCTTCGGAGACAAATGAAGTACGAGACAGAAGGTGAGAGACATATGATGGAAGACGCAGCACACACACACAAAGGCGAACAGGCGAAAGAGCCGGACACCACCACTCACTAAGGCAGACCGATGATTGGAGACAAATTAATTTGGAGACGGATAAATTGGGAGAGACATGGCGAGAGACACATGATGAGAGACAAGTGAAAACACAGAAAAGGCATTCCAAGAGCCGGACACCACTAGACAGCGTGGGAAACACATGAAGGGAGAGACATGCGGAGAGTTGGACGCCACAAGGCTCACAAGTTAGAAGAGACACCCAGAGAGGCAGGCACCACTAGCACACTGGGAAACATATGAAGGGAGACAATTGAAGAGAGACATCCGGCTAGTATAAGCACACTAGGTGACAAATCAAGGGAAACAAGTACTGTAAAGAGAGACATCAAGAGACACCACCGCCACTAAACAGGAAGACACGTCTTGAGAGAGAATGGAGAACCCCAACAATAAACTGTTTGAGGAATGAAGGAAAACAGGAAGTGACAAAGAGACAGAGAGAGAGAGATATATATATATATACAATTATATACATTACATTGAGTATATTATGTGTATATATGTGTGCGCAGAGAGCCGGACACCACTCGCCACTCTGGGAGACATATGCAGGTAGACAAGTAAAAAGAGACATCCGGAAAGCGGGCGACGAAGACAGACATCCAAAGAGTCGGACACCACCAGCCAGACTGGGAGACAAATGATTTCTCACACATCCAGAGACCCGGACACCACCACTGGAAAGAGGCGGACACCTCTTAAAAGAGAATTGAGGACCCCAACAGTAAACTGTTTGGGGAAAAACGATACCCCAAAATTGACTGGTGAAACAGATCTGTCATGATCTGTCATACTTTTTCTATATAAAACTGCCCCTTTGGGGTATCCAATGTTTAGACAAGCCCACAGTATGTGATCAAAATTTGATATCGCCAAAAAGGCGGATCTTATGATGTCTTGCCTTGCCTGCTCTTGCCTCTGTAATTTTTGCTTCAATTTTTTGGCCGCAATGGCGACCTTGCCATCATGGCCACAAACAGCATCAATTCATATCAAGTCGCGATGGGACATGATGGGAGATGATGGGTTGCATTTGATTCCAACCTTAAGGTCAAACAAGGTCAAACAAGGTCAAACAAGGTCAAACAACGTCAAGCACGTCAAATAGCGAGCTCGATAGCAGGTTCCCAGGCTTTCTCAATTGCAGCGGCGCGTTGCCGTTCCATCTCAGGAGTCCTGGCATGTTCTGTGCATTTCTGTGTGGCAAATCCAGAGCAAAACAAACAGTTTCGCAAACACAATAAGTCAAAATTAGTCAAGCTATTCAAACATCAAGTATGGAATGCATATGCACAGCATGTGCAATGAGTCTTAATAATCAAAATCAATGCCTCAAAGCCAACAAGTAGTTAGTGGTTCTGTCTTGCTCAACAATCTGGTAGACAATCAAGCATCCGCAACCTTGCTCAAATGCACCCTCATTGAAAATCCCATTAAAATTTGCATTCGTTCTTGCGCTTCAGGATGAAAGTCCTGTCCCCTGATTCTGTTGGATGCTTAGGAGCAGGTGCCCCTTGACCAGGCTCAAAGAATCTCATGGTTTCCTCCTGCAGTCAGCTTAACATGCTCAATCCATCTTAACCCGCACCGACATATCGACGAACATCGAGGAACATCCATGAATATCGACGCATTTTAACAAAAACGTACCAAAACAAACACACATTCAAAGGCTCACAGATGTGCCACACCATGTACTTTGACGTTCATTTACAATCACAGTCTAGTGATGTCTAGTCTCTGTCTGCCATCGCACTGATACCATCAATCCATATCAATCCATATCAATCCTTTCCAAGGGCATGCTGGGATATGCTGGGCATGTTCCTGCTATCCCCTGCTTGTTTTCAGTACGGTCAGCCAGTGTAGCCATGAACCGGTCTGGCCATCAAAGCAAGAGCGCCGTGGGAATCAGCCCTGCAACCACCGAATGTTGGACATTGTTGGACCTGTTCATCCTGTTCTAGATATTTCTAGATTGAGAACGGCTTTTGCCGCCTCTGGATTTACTTGATTTGACTCCTACGTAGCATGAAGTTGGGTCGTCAGGAGATGCTGCTAAGCTAACTCGCGAAAATTGCCTTTCAATTTGAAGGAATCGCTTTAAGCACTTTGGTATAAGCAAGTCAGTCCTTAGCTTCCTTGTTTGCAGCAGCAGTATCAGTGTGGATGTCCACCTTACGCTCACTGGCATGATTGAATCGTCACTTTGCAATGCATTGTTTTGCGCAAAATTGATCACTGAGGTGCGAACCGTCAAACGTGTGGACAGCTGTCCTGCTTTTCGCCTGGCGGCACAGCAATGCATCGGAGGAAGGCTGTAGCTGTATGGCTGCACTAATTGCATTGAAATAATTTTGTTGCACACACACACATTGCCATGGTGTCTTGTGGTATTTGTGTGTATTTGGTTTATACTGTAATACTTTCTAACCATTGCAAATTTCTATCAGCCTTGACCGGCTCGACGAGGGACGCTCAGAACTCAGGGCAAACGGTCGCAGAATGTAAGGCAATGCAGAAAGTCTATGGACAAACGCAGGCGCCAAAATATGTTTGCCCGACTCTGTAACACGAAAAAACAACACAAAAACATATCAAGATCTTATCTTATGTTGCAAAGGTTATTAAAGGCATTGTGAGGGCATGACTCTCCATACTCGTCAATCTCGAATTCACCCTCATCATCTTCGTCCTCTTCATCCTCGTCCTCTGCGATGGGGAAAGCGCCTGCTTCCTGCAAAACCTCGTCTGGCACAGTGATACTTTTGAAAGTTTTTGACCGTCGTCGGTCAACAGGCCGTTGGTAGCCACGTGCCTGGCGCTCATTGCCAAAATCAAACATTAACACTGACATTGCTCACGTCGTTCCTCTGGCCCGGAAAAAAGAAATGGGGTAAATTGGGCAGCCTCTTCTTCTTCTAGGCTCCGAACCTGCTTCAGGTCTGAGCCACTCAAACCCAATGCATGAAATATAATCTCTTCATGTTTCAATCGTTTTACTGCTACGGTGTACTTCAATGCTTGCTCAATGGCTCAATGAATGTTGCGACCTGCTTAACTAGTTGGAAAATGTTTAAATATGTTTAAAGTATCTTCTGGTATTTTAGAGCATGTAGTACGTTACAACAATGAACACTTTACACAATTTTACACAATGTTCTGCAAATTTGCCCAACTTCGACTTGAGACCCGGGCTTTTTGGATGTCTGAAAGATATCCATCGTGAGCATCACTTTCACCCCGCTGACGCTGTCGGTTCAGATTTGGCAAACTTTTGGCCTCGCCCAACAAAATCCAACATGCAACAAGAACATGATATAACCTTGAAGGGAAATTGCCCTCTGGTCATACTAATGGCTCACGGGCTCTGGTGAACCCAAGCGGCGACGGGAATGGCATATGTCTATGCCATAGGGGCGACTTAATGAAAGATCACGCTCAACCTGTTCTTCATGCAGTTAGTCGCTGTACGCCCGTCGCAGTACGCCCGTCGCGTCGCCTACCGTGCAGTCGCTTCTTTTCAGCTGCTGTGAGGTATGGGCTTTTGAACGTGGCCCATGTCAAAAGCACGCGCTACAGGATCCAAAACGGCTGTGGTATCTTCCACAGAGTTGCATATGCAATGACAAAACCGCGCGCGAACCACTCCATCTCAATTTTTCGACACAAGCAACGTGCGCTGTCCATCCTGAAGGCGATTTTGGCAACTTTGGCTTGCATTGCGAGCCATTGGCAGTCTCATGCGTGGCGGGGATGTGCGGAGTAGAGTGGGGCCTGACATTGGCGCGACAAAGCTTACAAGAGTAAAACATACATACAGCAAAACACAGAACTCTCAGCAACTCCTCAGGGTTTGCTATGACATGAAAGGGGCACGCCGGAATGTTACAGAGAGAAGCCGCTCCGGATACCCTCAAGTCAAATTCATGTTTATTGGATTGGGCCCCCTGCGTCCAATTTAATCCTCACACCCAAGGAGAAATTTGAAGGAATCCGTCTGGAGCGCTTTTCTTACAGGCGGTACCCAGAAATTACTTAAAATTAGACCATGTCTACTAACGGCGCCCATGGTTGCAACCAGAGAGGCCAGGAGCCTTAGATGCTCCGGGCACAACTCCTGCGGTTGGGCTTTGCGTGCATCCCGAAACCTCCCCTAATCTGGCAGTTCTGTCTGTTGCCTGTGGGATTCTTGAGACCAGCTATGGAATTGCGCGACGCTCGGAATAAAGCTCAGGTATTCAAGCTCTGGTCAGATTCTGGAATACTGCATGCCGGGATGCAGGACGTCACCTCTTCCATTGCCAATGTGAATCTAAACCGGCACCGGTCAGCCAACATGCACACAGCAAACATGCCAATAGCACGGGACAGCTGAAGGGCCCTGTTGAACCAAACAACGGCACCGAGAATGACATATCAACCCCGCTATGCAACAGAAGAGCTATAAGGGAGAACTCATGCAGGTGTTTACCGAAACATCCACGACCACTCAGCGCCTTCTGCACCGCCAGCCCATCGTCAGAATCATCCGAAGTTTCTTCTTTCGAACTTGAACTCGAACTTTGACCGTCTCCTGTTTCAACACTGCACATACATATCTGCACATACCTGCGTGCACCTGCAACATGACTTCCCACAAGCCACTGCAAACTTTCAGCAACGCATCAGCGCTTTGAAATTGTTCTTAACGCAAAATAATGAATATATATAATGATAAGATTTCTTCGTCTATTTTGTAGTACAAAATAGCTCTGCGAAATGCCCGCAGCTGCACGCTTTGTGAAACAGTTGAAATGCTGTTTTGCTTGCTTCGCAGCACGAAGCAATACATACGGAACTTATTTTTGGGAACATGTAATACAAAGGAAGAGAGACGCCGAGAGACAGCCAAGAGAACGAGCTGCCAAGAAAAAGAGATATCAAGGGCAACCCAGGTCAAGAGGAAGAGAATTCATGAGAAAACGACATCAGCACAAGGGAAGAGATGGGCGACGTAGAAAGAGATGTCAAGAGAAAGAGATGTGAAGGATTGTGAAGGACAAGATGCGCCAAGAGCAAAAATGGTCAAGACCAGGGCGTGTCAAGGGAAAGCGATGCCAAGAACAGGCGATGGGGCGACGTTAGGAGATGCCACGAGACAGGGATGTCAAGAGAATGAAATTCCAGGAGACAAAGATACAAGGAGGAAGAGGTGACAAGAGAAGAAGATGTCAAGAGAAAGATATTTCAAGAGCAGGTGATGTCAGGAAACAGAGATTTCACGAGCAGCTGGTGTCAAGGGGGAAAAATGTCCACCGATGTCAAGAGAGGAAAGGTCAAGAGAAAGAAATGACAGAGAAAGGGCGGCCTGGAAAGAGGAGCCAACGGAAGGAGAATTCAAGAAAAGGACATGTCAAGAGAAAGTTACGATGGAAAGAGATTTCAAGAGAAAAACATGTTAAGAGAAAAAAATGGAAGGAAAAAAATGTGCCAAGAAAAAGGGATGTTGATAAAGGCCACACAGACGACACGATAGATGAGATACAGTTCCTGGTTTGGAATGATTGGGCGCTCGCTGTTGCGTTGCAAAGAGGACAGGGGAGGAGAGGTACAGTATTGAAAAAAATGGGGGCACTTCACTTTCTCAGGGCCGCTTTCTCACACGTTCTCAAGACCGTTTTCTCGAAGGACGCATGCTGTTGCAGGCACGATATTTCTTGCTTACAGAGTTTCTGATTTGTGAAGGAATCATGAAAACATGCTGCAACATGGTTTTCGGGGTGTTTTGCATCCCAGTTTGTCGCAGGACGGGCAGAAAGTAAATGAAACAACGACAAACGAACGAAAATGCCACGAAGCAACCGAACCGCTCAAATGCTTGCAAGACCGTTGCGGAAAGAAAAAACAGAACAACTGCAAAACCGCGAGAACCCTATTTTTTTACATACACTGCATACATTGCGCACATTACATACAGTATTTACATACATTGCATACATTGCATACATTGCATACATTGCATACATTGCATACATTGCATACACAACATGCAATACATACATTGCATGCATTAAACACAAAGCATACAGAACATACAGAACATACATACGATGCATACCGTGCATACATACATACGTACATATATGCATGCATGCATACATACATGCATCCATTACATACATACATACATACATTACATTACACTACACTACACTACATTACATTACACTACACTACATTACCATACATACATACATACATACATACATACATACAGTACATACATGCATACAGTACATACATTACATACATTACATACATTACATACATTACATACATTACATACATTACATACATTACATACATTACATACATTACATACATACATACATACATACATACATACATTACATACATTACATACATTACATACATTACATACATTACATTCATTACATTCATTACATACATTACATACATTACATACATTACATACATTACATACATTACATACATTACATACATTACATACATTACATACATTACACACATTACATACATTACATGCATTACATCCATTACATACATTACATACATTACATACATTACATACATTACATACATTACATACATTACATACATTACATACATTACATACATTACATACATTCCATACATTACATACATTACATACATTCCATACATTACATACATTACATACATTACATACATTACATACATTACATACATTACATACATTACATACATTACATACATTACATACATTACATACATTACATACATTACCTACATTACATACATTACATACATTACATACATTACATACATTACATACAGTACATACATCACATACATTACATACATTACATACAGTACATACATACATACATTACATACATTACATACATTACATACATTACATACCTTACATACCTTACATACCTTACATACCTTACATACACATACATACATACATACATACATTACATACATTACATACATTACATACATTACATACATTACATACATTACATACATTACATACATTACATACATACATACATACATACATACATACATTACATACATTACACATACATACATTACATACATTACATACATTACATACATACATACATTACATACATTACATACATTACATACATTACATACATTACATACATACATACATACATTACATACATTACATTTACATACATTACATACATTACATACATTACATAAATTACATACATTACATACATTACATACATTACATACATTACATACATTACATACATTACATACATTACATACATTACATACATTACATACATTACATACATTACATACATTACATACATTACATACATTACATACATTACATACATTACATACATTACATACATTACATACATTACATACATTACATACATTACATACATTACATACATTACATACATTACATACATTACATGCATTGCATACATTGCATACATTGCATACATTGCATACATTACATACATTACATACATTACATACATTACATACATTACATACATTACATACATTACATACATTACATACATTACATACATTACATACATTACATACATTACATACATTACATACATTACATACATTACATACATTACAATACATACATACATTACATACATACATACATACATTACATACATACATACAACACATACAACACATACTACACATACATACACAACATTACATACATTACATACATTACATACATTACATACATTACATACATTACATACATTACATACATTACATACAATACATACATTACATACATTACATACATTACATACATTACATACATTACATACATTACATACATTACATACATTACATACATTACATGCATTACATACATTACATACATTACATACATTACATACATTACATACAGTACATACATTACATACATTACATACATTACATACATTACATACATTACATACAGTACATACATTACATACATTACATACATTACATACATTACATACATTACATACATTACATACATTACATACGTACATTACATACATTACATACATTACATACATTACATACAATACATACAATACATACATACACATACATACACATACATACACATACATACACATACATACACATACATACACATACATACACATACATACACATACATACACATACCTACACATACATACACATACATACACATACATACACATACATACACATACATACACATACATACACATACATACACATACATACATACATACATACATAACGTACATACATAAGGTACATTACATACATACATTACATAACATACACAACATACATACATACATACATACATACATACATACATACATTCATTTCATTTCATTTCATTTCGTTTCGTTTCATTTCATTTCATTTCATTCAATTCATTCATTCCATTCCATTCCATTCCATTCCATTCCCATTCCCATTCCCATTCCCATTCCCATTCCCATTCCATTCCATTCCCATCACATCCCATCCCATCCCATCCCATTCCATTCCATTCCATTCCATTCCATTCATTCATTCATTCATTCATTCATTCATTCATTTCATTCATTTCATTTCATGTCATTTCATGTCATGTCATGTCATGTCATGTCATTTCATTTCATTTCATTGTTCATTTCATTTCATTTCATTTCGTTCATTCATTCATTCATTCATTTATTCATTCATTCATTCATTCATTCATTCATTCATTCATTCATTCATTCATAACATACATAACATACATTACATACATTACATACATACATACATACATACATACATACAAACATACATACATACATGCGTGCATGCATACATACATACAGACATACATACCTCCATGCCATACCATGCCATACCATGCCATACCATGCCATACCATGCCATACCATGCCATACCATGCCATGCCATGCCATCCATTGCCATCTCATGCCATACGCCATGCCATACAATACCATACTTTACCATACCATACCATACTTACCATACATACCATGCATGCCATACATACCATGCAAACATGCATACATACATTACACTACATGACATCACATATCAAAAGATAACATAACAAAACAGAACACAACCAAACATAACGTAACATACATTTGGCCCCGTGCCTTCCCTCCAAAAATAAAAGATGCCCACACTGGCGATGACAATTTACCACAGACCGACCATCATCATTTTCGAGAAGCGATGCCCAAAAGGCACGCAAAGCAGTTCACCGCATGTTAACATCCCTGCTGTGTGGGTGTTTCCTTTCTTGTGTGTGCATTTTGAAGCTCCATCCTTTTGATTTTATTCAATCATCCGTGCCTGATGAATCAAAGAATGATACACTTGGCTGGCTTTGGCTCCAGGTGGCATGTCGAGGTCGGCAGGCCTGCAAAGCAACAAAGCAACCCGCTGAAGATTTAAACAAATTTAAGGTAGCCTGCGAGAAAATACGAGAAACCTGACCCACTGTCAAACAGGAAGGAGCATTTAAATCTACAACAGGCAAACCCTAGCACGGCTAAAGGGCGGAAAAAGGACTCTGTGATTCACTTTCGTGGTCTTTGCGTCTTTGCCTGTCAAGGCCGTGCTTTCCACTTTCGTTTCCAAGGGCCGGTATAGCCGTGAGATGCCCAGCAATGGGCTACAAGAAGCCAAACGACATCAAGACTCGAATCCGGTGCCTGTCTCGATGCCGAAGATTGCATGACTCTGCATCATGCAACGTGATCTTCGTGCAAAGTGGCAGGATCCAATGGGTTTGGGTTTGCCAAAAGCTTTCGACGCAAGCGTGTTGTCCAAGTTTGTCTAAATGACGGATGGACTGCGGTGGAACATGTCTGTCCACTTCTGGCACTTGACTTCAAGAGCCAAGGCATCCACTTTCTAATCTAATCAAAAGTCCAGACTAGTGCGTGCATGTTGGTGATGACTTGCGATTGGTCAGCGCTAGCACGCTTGGAAAAAATGGCTGCGATGGAGCTATGGTAAGCTGGTTCTTATTGAAGCGCACACACAAGGTCATATTTCCATGATTTTCCGGATGCTCGGTTCAGAAATCTCATTAAATGTGCCCGCCTGCACTCTCACCAGTCTCACACTTGAGAACCCTCCCACAAACTCAATCAGAAAGCCTTCCCTTTTGACGCACGACGGTCAACTCACTTCTCACTGTGTCTAGAGCGATGCGAGTTCCAATCAAGAAACCAAGACCTCACAGTCAGTGGCTGGCAAAATGAACGTAGATCTATGGCAGTATGACTTGCGAAATCTCGCACAGATTTTATTTAAAAAAAACGCCGGAAAGAATTGGACAGCCATGATGCCGGGAATTTTGAGGCAGCTGCCCAGGAGCATGACAGCCTGAACTGATGGAGGTTCAAGTTGGTTCCTGATGTCTTACAATAAACACGTGTTCGTTTAGTGTTCCTTTCAATAAAACTGCATCCGCGGAACAGAACCCCAGCCTCAAAGGGTCTTTCAACATTGCTCTCTTGCACCTGGACTCAAACAATGCTGTCTGCGGCGCCAAACGTCAAAGCATGGTGTACTGTGTTGTGTGTGTTTGTGCCGATTTCAGCGCACCTGGCTGAAGCCAGCGTGGGTTCCTTTATGCAAACCACACCACATGTAGCCAGCTAATTTTAATTTAACGGCGCGCAAAACCTAGCATGTCTTGAAAAAAACGGCTCGACAAACTTGCATCAGGACTTGGGCTGGCCAAGCTGGATGCATGGAACACGCTGACCATTTTTCAGAGGCATGACTCATCTCGGCCGAAGTTCTTCTTGGTGCCAATGGAGGATCATGGGCCCAGGGACATGATGCATCAAACCCAAGATTCGGACCAACTGCCCCGCCATCCTTTCAAACACAAACCAGCACATGGGGAGAAGCTCCGTACCTCTGGCTTCAACCAAGACTCCTTGTCATTGCCATTGCACTTAGAACCAGGTCCCACTTTTCGAGGCGGCCAACATTTCCCCAGTTGGCCCCGCAGTCTCGCAGCAACCAATCATCTGCTGTTTTGGGCCCCTTCTCACGCTGTATGTCTCAAACGTCGTTGGATTCCCATCTAAGTAGGAATGGTGCCCTTCCCAGCCATCTTTCATACCAAGTCAGCCTCACCTTCACAGCCTCCTAGATTCTAGATCTCAATCCCATGATATCGTTTAAGCTTGGCTACAATGCTAAACACACCGGACCCCTGAACCGAACGCGGCAAATTACACTAGTTGTCCTCAATGCGAAAATTTGATCCCACCCAGCCACGGCAATCGACACACCTGAGCCTGCAGGTTTGGGAAATTTATTGCGCTATTATGCAAGGCTCGCACGTCTCAGCAAGCTCATGTTAGACAGTGTCACGGTAAGAACCAGCACTTGCTAAGCTCTCCTCCAGTGGTCGCCTGAGCCTCCTGCCCACGTCATCTCATTCATCGGTGTGACAAGGTCAAGCCCAAGGCCATAGTTTGGATGTTTGCCCCTGTACCTTCGCAAGTAAGGAACAATGACCACGAACAACGATAATGATAAAATGCTGAAGGATGAAGGTAACATGCGGACATGTAGCTGAAGGTCAGCGATGTGCTGCTGCTACTGCTACTGCTATACTGGCGCCTGGGTCGTTGGGCCTGAACAATCTACCCATTGGATCGAACCCCATGGAGCTGCGATGCCAGATTGCTGAAACCCCACAAGAAAACCGCTGCCCATAGATACATATATAGTCTGCTCGCAAAATCTTATCTTATCTGATTGAGCATGATTGAGCGGTGTGCGTACGCGTGCTTGCACGCAATGAAATTGGATTCGCCTGTGCAGAGCCGCTGCACCAAAGCGGCAGGGCGGTTGCGCCAGTTAAGACAGTTAAGAAAAACTCACAATTTCAGCGGGAGCGCAAGCACAACCCTTATCTCACCCAGAGCCAACGCGTCACACAAACGCTGCAAAAAGGGGAGGCCATTGAACCTTGGCTTTGCACGGCCTTGCTGGGCGCGGTTTCGAGCCAAGCCGACAATCTCTCTGACCCAATAAAGCTTGCGCACATGCTGAAGACCACATTGGGCTCGCCAGAATCAAACACTGCTTCTATTTGACGAGCCTGCAGGCTAGGCACAGCTACAACCCACCAGGTCTGAAATTTCGGCAAAGAACTGAGAGAACCAAGCCGGAGCTTCTTGTCACATGTGGCTTCAGGCCTGCGACCAAGACATCCCAGAGCTGGCACTTTGCCGCGCTACCCGCAGATAGGCATCATATAAGCCTCAGCATGGGAAGGGGGCACCACCGGGCATGGAAGAGAAAGATAGAAAAAATGGTACGTGACTAATGGACAGGATAACCCCACAAGTCACCTTCTTCTAGCGAGTACCATGATGATGATGGTGGTGGTGGTGGTGGCGGTGGTGGGGTGGTGGGGTGTGCGGCGGCGGTGGCGGGCGCGGTGGCGGCGCGGCGGACGGGCGGGGTGGAAGGTGGCGTTGGCTGGCGGCGGGGTGGTTTGGCGGGCGGTTTGGCGAGCGGGGTTGGTAGTGGCGGGGGTTTGTTGTGGGTGTTGGGCTAACCGGTTCATGGTCTGGTTCCCGAAAGGAGTCAGGAGGTGGCTCCGTTCGAGTGACTAATGATGCTGGTGGACTTGAATGTCTCGGGCTTGGAGGAACATGGTCGGAAGCAAAACCATCTTCATCAGCAGAGGTTGGATTGTCGACAGGCCGGCCATCTTCCGTCACGAGACGGGGTGCTGTGATGATTTCATGATGTGATTGGGAGATCTCAACATGGACTCGTTGTTTCTTTTTGGGTCGGGGTTCTGGATAGTTTCCACCGGTGGCGAGATTGCCTGGATCGAATCACATTGACAGGAGCACTGCATGGGTTCAGATGGTCCAGCCGGAATTGGGCGAAAGTGAAGTTCAGGATTCACAATCATGTGTGCTGGAAGACCCCCATGAGTGAGCATGGTGGAACGTGACGGTGTATATATGGCAATGGCACAAACGCATGGGGCCAGAGTGTGTGTTGTGGGTGATTGGGACTGTTGTGGGTTGGAACCTTCGTTGGACGTCCGAATCATCCCAGTCCACTGCCGGCTCAAGAAATGGGAGGAAACCGGCGATATATGGCGATATAATTCAAATGCATGATTGCTCTTGCCAAATGATAGTCTTAGTGGATCTCTCTGGAATTCTCTGGAGTAGGATCAGGAATTGTCCATCGTAGAAAACCGAATGTCAACGGAGCAAAAGGGGAGCCGAGTTTGAACCAGGAGCTCGGATATCAATCAGATGCAAGCCATAAGGCAAAGAAACCGCAACAATCACGAAGGATCCCAAAACATCAAGACCTAGTTGAAATTACCAAACATGCGGGTTGGAGTGATATGACCTGCTGGTGTTGATGTAAGATCTGAGAAGGAATGCTGTTGAGTTCTTCTTCAGAGAAGCCTGCCAAAGTGTACAGATGGGTCAATTGATCAAGTCCTTGTTGAACAAGATGTGCAGGAAAGGCCCCTTTGACGACGATAGGACAGCGAGAGCGAAAGCCACTAAGGAGTACTTTTGGTGGTGATGCCGAAAACGGTAAAAGGACTTGTGACATGTTAGTGGGGCCGCAATGGATGAGTTCGAGTGGCGCAGTTTCCAGCATGAAGCCCAGGAATTGTTGGTCCGGTTCTGTTTCGAGAGCAATGGGACTACCATAGAACCCTTCATCCAGTAGGACTTCATAGGGATGAAGTTGTTGGAGACGGTTGTCCCCAAAAATCAATGGCTTGTCAACATACCGGATGTGGCGGATGAACAAGTTGTGATTGATCAGAGCCTCTTTGAAGTTCATTGACCAAATCTGTTCACTGATGGAGACGACCATCAGGCACAGTGCTGGAGAAAAAGGACTTCCAATGGGATTGTCCCGTCGTTGGCGGACACAGCGGCTGCCCAATGCAAACGTTTGCATATCAAGAGCCGTTGTGAGAAGGGATGGCACATCTTTGATCACAATCTTTCGAGTGACATTGAGACGTCTGAACGCGCGGCCCTTTACAAGATCGCCAGGATTGTTGGATTTTCCCGGATAGGCCGAGGATACCTCGTTGTCCCCCACATTCACATGTGGGCGAAGAAAGTCCAGCAGCATATACCATGTCCCTATGAAGCGAGCCTGGTCGATGCTGGTGAAGAAGCCGGCCAGGTCTTGGTTTACAAGGATAAGGTCGCCATCAATTGGAGCTGTCTGAAGGACCGTGAGGAGTGTGTAAACATCTCCCAATGCAAAATGATCCGGGCATGCTACTGGGATCAGCTCGAATATCATTCTGGCCAGAATGTTGAGCATTGGTCGGAAAGGCGAGTCCACAAAGGAGATGATGGGACGACCGCTTTGGTATGCTTTCTTGGCCAGGATATATCCTGCTGGAAGTTGGCGGCCCTTGCCAATGGCCAACGGATAAGATCTGCCATAGTCGCGTTGGAGAGTGGACACCAACGAGGAGACGATGGCTTGGGGTTCTTGATCAATCGTCTCAAAGATAGAAGTGTCCTGAATGGCTTGAATGTAGAGACGTCGTGGGCAGAAGATTCGAAGTGACGAGGCCTGCTTATCTTCACAGTGGAAGATGGCACCTTCAAACGCCTTCTGGAGGCCATTGATTGACGATTTCGCGATGTGGCAGGTGACCTGTTGCGCGTGTTGCTGCCACAGGGTCTGAACTAGTTCAGAAATGAGATTGGCGGGGATGGATGGAAGACCATTTCCCTTGGTCCAAGCGCGAAG